TTGAAGAGTTGCAGAGCAGTTTAGAAGCGCAAGAGTTGCGTTTGACTGAGAGAACTTCTGAAAGGGAAGTAGAGCAACAAGCTCTGAAAGCAACTTCTGATAGGAGGTATCAGAAGCAGTCAAAAGCCAAGAGAAGATCTGATGGTGGTCAGAAGTCATAAAGCTCAATCTCTGATAGGCAAAAGAATGCTCAGAAGGGAAAAGAGAAGTATGACAAGAAGAAGATCCAATGTTACTGTTGTAAGAAGTTTGATCACTTTGCTAGAGATTGTTGGTCAAACAAGGAGAAGAAATCAGAAGAAGCAAATATAGCCAAAAGCTATGATGACGAATTTGTGTTATTGATGGCCTCTGAATCTGATAATATAGATCTGGTAGACTGGTGGTATATGAACATTGGCTGTTCAAATCATCTTACTGGAAACAAGAAATGGTTGGTTGACTTTGACTCTGAAAAGATAACAAATATCAGATAAGCTGATGACAAATATCTTAATGCAGAAGGTATGGGAAATGTCAGAGTGATTCTGAACAATGGGAAAACAACATTGATTCAAAACGTGTGGTATGTACCTGGCATCAGAAGCAATCTAATGAGTGTGGGACAATTAATTGAGAAAGGTTTTTCAGTTACCATGAAGGACAATCTTCTGAAGCTGTATGACTGCAATCAGAAGTTGATTATGGAGTCAGAACAGGGAAGGAATAGAACATTCAAGGTGAATGTCAGAACTGCAGACTCAGAATGTCTTAGTGCAACAAGTGCTGAGAAGGAGAGTGAGCTGTGGCACAGAAGATTTGGTCATTTGAATTTCAGAAGCTTAAAACATCTGAATTCAAAGAAGTTGGTACATGGAATTCCTGCAATTAAGAAGCCTGAAAAGTCATGCAAAGTTTGCATGGAAGGAAAACAACCACGACTGCCATTTGCGTCAGAAGCTGCTCTAAGAGCAAAACATGCCTTGGGAGTTGTACATTCTGATGTGTGTGGTCCATTTCCAGTAGCATCAATTGGAGGGAATAAATACTTTGTGTTGTTTTTTGATGAATTCACAAGAATGACATGGGTATCCCTTATTAAGTTTAAACATGAGGTGTTTGATGAATTCAAGAAGTTCATAATGAAGGCTGAGAATCAGAGTGGTCAGAAGTTGAAGATTCTTAGAACTGATGGTAGAGGTGAGTATAACTCCAAAGAATTCCAGAAGTTCTGTGAGGAGAATGGAATTGAGCATGAGGTTACTGCTCCTTATACCCCTCAACACAATGGTCTTGCTGAAAGAAGAAACCGTACTTTGCTTGATATGGTGAGAAGCATGCTAAAGGAGAAGAAGCTTCCTCAGAAGCTCTGGGGAGAAGCCGTTGCCACTGCAACGTATGTACTCAACAGATGTCCTACGAAGAAGTTGAAGGAAATAGTTCCTATGCAGAAGTGGACTGGAGACAAGCAAATTGTTAGTCATCTGAAGGTGTTTGGTTCTGTTTGCTATAAATATGTTCCAGAAGGCAGAAGACAGAATCTGGATGATAGAAGCAAAGTGATGATTCTGATAGGGTACCACAGTACAGGTGCATACAAGCTCTATTGTCCAAAAACCAATAAAATTGAATTCAGCAGAGATGTGATTGTGAAGGAATCAGAAGTTTGGAATTGGGATAAGTCTCAATCTGATTCTGATGTTAGAACTTCTGAAGAAAGGTCAGAGTTAAGAATTTATGAAGTTGAAGTAAACTCTGATGTTGATTCTGACTCTGATAGTGATTCTGACTCTGGAGAAGACTCAGAAGATGAAGGTGACTCTGATGGTCCAGACTCTGATGGTAATCTAGATTCTGGTGGAAATTCAGACTCTGAAGATGGCCAGAACTCTGAAAATATGCCAGATCTTGAAGATGGTCAAAGCTCTGGAGGAAGTCAATCATCTGAAGTTAGAAACTCTGAAGCTCAAGACTCTGAACAAGTCCAGAGACCACAAAGAATCAGAAGCGTTCCCAGAAGATTTGCAGAATTTGACATGCTGCAAGACACTGAAGTAGACTCTGAAGGAGAAGTTATTCAGTGTGCCATATTAGTAGACTCTGAACCTATAAGTACAGAGGAGGATCTTAAGCAGAAGCTCTGGCTGAAGGCCATGAAAGAAGAACTTGATGCTATAGAGAGAAACGAGACTTGGAAGTTGACAGAACTTCCAAAAGACAAGAAAGCCATCAGCGTCAGATGGGTTTTCAAGCAGAAGTTAAAGCTAGATGGCTCAATTGGCAAACATAAAGCAAGGTTGGTAGCCAGAGGATTTCTACAAAAACCTGGACTGGATTACTCTGAAGTGTTTGCACCTGTAGCAAGACATGAAACAATCAAAATGGTGATTGCAATAGCTGCTAACAGGAATTGGCCTCTGATGCATTTAGATGTAAAATCTACATTTCTGAACGGTCCATTAGAAGAAGAAGTTTACGTGTCACAACCTTCTGGATTTGTGAAAAAGAATCAGGAAGGGATGGTGTACAAATTATACAAAGCTCTATATGGATTGAAACAAGCGCCCAGAGCTTGGAATCAGAAGATTGATTCATTTTTCAAGAAGCAAGACTTTCAGAAATGTGAGATGGAGTACGGTGTCTATGTTCAGCATACTTCTGAAGGCAATATGACTCTGGTATGTTTATATGTTGATGATATACTATTGACTGGAAGTTCTGAACAAGAGATAGCCAAGTTCAAGAAGGTTCTAATGAATGAATTTGAAATGACTGATCTAGGCAAAATGACATACTTTCTAGGGATGAAGGTCAGATATTCTGAGAAAGGTATCATTTTGCATCAGCTCAAGTATGAATTAGAACTTCTGAAGAGATTTGATCTGAAGAATTGTAAGATGGCTGTCACACCTTCTGATATAAATCAAAAACTGGATTCAGACTCTGAAGGAAAGGATGTGGACGCTACAACCTTCAAACAGTTGGTTGGTTCTCTGAGGTATCTGTGCAATACCAGACTTGATATTTGCTACTCAGTTGGGATGGTTAGTAGGTTCATGAGTAAACCTAAGTGGTCCCATTACCAAGCTGCTGTCAGGATTCTGAGGTATATCAAAGGAACTCTGAAGTATGGAGTGTTATTTCTCTCTGGAGGAAATAATGAGTCAGAACTTCTGAGTTATTCAGACTCTGATTGGTGTGGAGACAAAGTTGACAGAAGAAGTACATCTGGGTACTTGTTCAAATTTCTGGGAGGTTCCATTTCTTGGTGTTCCAAGAAGCAACCTGTTGTGGCGTTGTCAACCTGTGAAGCTGAATACATTGCAGGTGCTGTTACTGCATGCCAAGCTGTGTGGATTCTGAATCTGTTGCAGGATCTGAAGATTAAAGTAGACAAACCTCTGAAGTTGATGATTGACAACAAGTCTGCAATCAATCTTGCCAGAAACCCAGTGTTGCATGGGAGAAGCAAGCATATTGAGACCAAGTATCATTTTCTAAGACATCAAGTTCAGAGTGGAGTGTTAGAAGTTGTACACTGCAGCACTCAGAAGCAGTTGGCAGATGTTCTGACGAAAGCTATCAAGACTGATCAATTTCTTAGACTAAGGGATGGAATTGGTGTTACAAGTTTTGATGGAATATGAATTAAGGGATGATATTAGAATATTAATAGTAATTCATATTTATTTAGTTGTACTATTTTCTTAGTCCCTAAGTTTATTAGAGGGTATTTTAGTATTTTATCTTATTCTAGTAACCCTAGTTTTAACTTATAAATAGGGTGACAATCATTGTAACTTTTTAATCATGTTTTTGTAGCCGTCATTCTTAATAGAATATTTCCTCTGTTCATCATTTATTCACCTTTGCACCAACATATGCCTCACATACCTTACAACAATCCACATAACTTTAATTTATGTATTAGCAAAGGCAAATCTATGTATCACACTGAGGGGACTTAAATCCCCACTAAGAAACAATTTTATTTGAAATTTATTTTATATTTTTTAATTTGCCTTATAGTAGAGTAACATTTTTTTTCTTAAATAAGTCAATTTATTAAAAAAAAATTAAAAAATTAAAAAATTATTTATTAAAATAAATTAGTACTCATTATATTATAAACAATTATATTTCATAATTAAAAAAAGCACCATAATACAAAATAATAATATTTGAAAATGAAAACATAATCTTATATATTATAAAATATATTTTCCTTATAAAATTGTATATATTATATAAAAAATTTAAAAATAATAATTTTTTATAGATAGATTATTAGTTAACTTTTGCTCCACTATAAATTTTTTTTTAATCCGCCACTATGTATTAGATTTGAGTTTTTAAACATGTTCACGTGGCATTAATAATTTATAATTTTGTAAAAATGAAAACAAAATTACTACATAGCTATAAACCACTTTTTTTCTTCATAATTATTCATTAAACATTACTACTACTATTAAACAAATATTAAATCAGTAATTTTATACTATAATTTTATGACCAGCGTTACTGCCTAATTACTTTTGTATCATTGATATTGAAAATGATGATTTTATGGAAACATTGATATTTTTTAAGATTTATTGATTTTTATTCATAGAAATAGTATGAAAACATTGAGGTATAAAAATTTATAGTTATATGATAAATCATAACAAAAATGTGATATATGCAAATTTTATCAATATATTATAATTTGTATTTTTACTAAATTTTTTTTACTAATTAATTATTAATATGTCATTGTCTATGTATAAATTACGTATATCCTGCACACTTCATCTACATATACTGTCTGTGAGTGTGTTTTCAGTAAACTTTATAAATTATAAATAAATCAAAAGCTAATTTAAAAAAGCAATTTCTTTTAACATTAACGATTTTGTTTGTTTTTGTTTTGACATAATATCTACATTTTTGTCGACAAAGTCCTTACTTTTACCAACGCCGATACGACGTGTCCGCCGGAAATAGATCAACCGCCTTTCGCTCCGGCGCGTTTTAGTATGGAAGGTTCAAAAGACGCCAATTCAAACCCGGGTCGGGTCGACGACTCAGATTCAGAACTCGAACTCTACACCATCCCAAGCTCTACCAGTAAGCTCTCTCTCTCTCTCTAAAACCCTAGCTGTTGAAATTCCAACCTAACCGGTGTCGTTTTACAGAATGGTTCGCGTGGGACGAAATCCACGAAACAGAGAAAACAGCTTTCAAGGAGTATTTCGACGGAACCTCAATTTCAAGAACACCGAAGATATACAAAGAATACAGAGACTTCATCATCAACAAGTACCGCGAGGAGCCTTCTAGAAGGCTCACATTCACCGAGGTGCGAAAGTCTCTAGTTGGTGACGTTACGTTTCTGTACAAGGTTTTCCTTTTCTTGGAGAGTTGGGGTTTGATCAACTACGGCGCGCCTTCCGGTGGTGACGGTGGGGAAGCAGAGAAGGAGCATGAGGAGGAGAGGTGTGAGGTAAAGGTCGAGGAAGGAGCTCCCAGTGGGATTCGTGTTGTGGCTACGCCGAACTCGTTGAAACCCCTTTTGCTGCCTCGCGATGTCAAGGTTGGTACTGGTGGTGACAATGGGAGGGGAGTTGGTATCAAAATGCCGCCGCTGGCATCGTATTCAGATGTTTATGGAGATTTGATTCGACGGAAGGAGGTCAATTGTGGGAATTGCGATGACAAATGTGGTTCTGGACACTACCGAAGTAGTAAGGTTGATTTTTCTTTGATTTTTATCTGTTTATGTATGTTATGTTATTTCTCTTTTAGTTTTATTGTTCACATTTAACAGAAGGATTTGGTTATCGATAACAACAATCGAAGTAACTTTTAACGAGGTTGGGTTATATAGATCGAATGTCCTATTATGATTCAAAGAATTAATGTATGAATAATGCAATTGGAGATGGTAATTGTTTGGCTTTGCAATTTAAGTTCGGTTGGAGTTATTATGGGAAAGAAATGAAGTTCTAGGTTAAAGGTATGGTAATGTCTTTTAACCAAACATTGCAAATCATGTAAACTTAACTTGGTGTTTGGTTAGGAAAAGATTAGAGGAGAGGGGGGTTATTTTAAATACATCTGGTTTGGTTAAACAATTTGGAGGGAAGGGATGCAAAATTGAGGGGGGCAACATTTATTTTCAATAAAATTTGGCTCATATCGGATATTGGGGTGATTTGTATGGGATAGAAGACGGATTTAAAACTGTTACTTAAATATCCTTACATGAAATGTTAATGTAGTGTATGAAGTAGATTAGTCCTTCCCCCGTGAAAACCTCTCCCCTTTCGAACCAAACAAGGAGAGGGTTATCTCCCGTCATTTCTCCTAAACCAAACAGCATACTACCTCCGGTCTTATATATGAGATTTTCTTGGTCTCATTTGTAAGTAAACATTACTACCTTTAAAATGTATTTATTGTCGAATGCTTTTTTACCCTCATTTCAAATGTTTGTCTTTTTTAAAGTTACTGTGTATTTAGTGTCTCACAGTTTCCCACGACGGTATATTTGGACAGGCATTCAAAATGTGACAACAATAAATAGCTAAGTGTTGTAAATGCATTGGTGCAATATACCGCTAGTGCCTATTTTGATAATATTTTATACTAAATAGCATATCGGAGAATAGTAATGGTTTGTCCAAATTCTGCTACACTATAGTGGTATAGCGCACATACAGTGGCTATTTAAGAACATTGAATAACTTAATTGATTTTGATGTTTTATTCTTCTGGTTTTTCTTTATATAATTGAAACCAGAGGGAGTATCTCTAATTAAATCCCTCTCCTCCCTTCCCCTTCCATCCCTTTGTTTGAACCAAACATTTTGTTATTTATTGTTTATTAAAGCAAGCTTGGGTGGGATTCCAAGGATTGTGTGATTTTCTTCTTGTTGAAAAACTCCCGAATAAGGGGATGTTTTTACTCCCATCTCCGCAGCCAAACATGCCTTAGGTAGACTAGGTAAAGATTAAGGTGTTAAGAATGAAAATACATTTACAATTACTTGGTGCAAAAATATATGAAGAAATAGAAAATATAGTGTTCAGTTGTTTTTTCTGTGAGCTGTCAATCTGCTTGAAATTTGAAAACCGTTTTTGTCTGCATCTTCTTTTTGCTTACAATTAGTAAATGCCATTGATCTGTTCAGCTGTCCAACTATTGTTTTTGAATCCTTCTGCTTTCCATTTTTATGAGTTAATCTGGGTTGTCGATAGCGTGATATAGCGTAGTAGTATGGGACCGCCATGCTTTTGGGCTGGTAACCGTTATCTGCGATAGTAGAAATAGCGTCTGCTATTTGTGATGTCGCGGCGGCGCAATAGCAGCGCTAAAGCGGTTTACCGACCGCTATTGTGAAGATGAGGGCAATATCGTAAGTTTGATTTTTTTTCATGGCAAATTGGTATTTTTCCCTTTTATTTGACTAATATAAAAAAAGCTCCCAGTGATGCTCTAGGTCATTTCCAATTCTCTCTTCACTCAAATCAGCACACGGTGGATCTAATCTGTCGTTCTCTCTCATCGTAAATTTTCTTCTTCCACTTTCTTCTCACCCTAAAAATCAGCAAGCGGTGGATCTTTCTAATCCATTCTTCCACATTCTTGTTTACCTATTCATCTTTTTTCTGCACTTTCTCAACCATTCACATCTATTTCTCCCATGTTTTGCTAATTTCTCATCTATTTGGTTTTGGGAGAAGATGGTTTGGCTTGGGAAGTTGTTGGTAATGCCACTGGGCTAATAAACCAGCAAGAGTTACTAGACATAACTTTAGACTTGCTACATTAGTGTCTTAAGGAAATGAGGAGTTGGAGGTGGAAGAAGAAGAGTTTGAAATTGAATCAAGTGATGATCAAGATGATATTAATGTGGTGGAACTTCGAAGTGAAGATGAGATGAATGCGATTTAGTCATTTTGTTTATGTTTATAATTTGGTTTAATCATTTTGAGCACATTAATGATTTGATTTTGATGGGAACTTATATTGTGGTGCTGTTGGAATTTATGTATGTTGTTGCAACTTCTGTTTTTTAAGGCATTGTTATGTATGTTGTTGGAACCTATTTTAAGTATTTATGTATTTACCTTGGTTTTTAAAGCTCACAATAGCGGTCATCCCGCTATTCGCTATGCCGCTATACCATTTTGGGGGTCCGGCGCTACGCGTTGCTATCCGAGATTAACAACCTAGGAGTTAATTGGTTTCATCTACCTCCCCATGTTCACCAAGCAAGTGCTGACAGCGCATGTTTGAAGTCAGATTTAGAAGTAGTTCATCCCATTTTTCAGTCTCTTCATGCAACGGAAATGTTTTGTATTATGTCATTAGTTTTTCTTGCAATTTTGCATACATTTCTGACATTAATACCATTGTTAGTTATTCTGTTTTTTTTCAAAACATGGCAGGATAACCTCATTATCTGCACGAAATGTTTCAAAAACGGGAATTACGGGGAGAAAGGGACCATGGAGGATTTCATATTAAATGAGTCAAGTGAAATTAGTGCCAAACATAGTGCTGTCTGGACGGAGGGAGAAACTCTCCTTCTCTTAGAATCTGTTTTGAAGCATGGAGATGACTGGGAACTTGTTGTTCAAAGTGTTCAAACCAAGACTAAACTTGATTGTATTTCAAAACTCATTGAGCTTCCCTTTGGGGAGCTCATGTTAGGCTCTGCTCACAGAAATGGTAACAGTAGTAGTGCTACTTGCATCATGAACAACGAAAAACAAGTTCAGTCTTCTTCATCCGATCCCCTAGAAACTTCAAAAACACAGGAAACTGCTACAGCAAAGGTTCAATCATCTGAGCCTAAAAATGAAAACGAGCAGAATGGAGATGCTGTGTATGAAAGTCCTTCAAAAAAGCAGCGTGTTGCTCCACTTTCAGATTCCAGCTGTTCACTAATGAAACAGGTAATAGATAATATCAATATTTACATATTTATGTTATCTTTATAATTTTTCATATCTGGTTGCATTTTCCTTGTTTCTGTGGATTTTATCTTTAGTGTGACACACATAGAACTTGTGTCTATGTGTTTGATTTGTTTGTTTGCTGCACGATCCTTTTCGTCCCACTGGATAAAACCTGTCACAACCAAGTAAGATCATAAATTAATGGTGTTTTGAACTAGGTGGGACTGCTCTCTACTGTGGTTGACCCTCATATTACAGCTGCTGCAGCTGATGCTGCTATTTCAGCACTTTGTGATGAGAATTTGCTCCCAAGGGATATATTTGATGTCGAAGAGGATAGCGCTTCTAGTGCAAGGTGATCTATATCATAAATCTACCAGTTCAATATATGTTCCAATTTTGCTTGGTGGTAATTTACTTTTAAATTGAGCCTTCATTTTATAAAACCCTTATACTTGTTATTATTTGTGTCAGAACTCTTGAGGGTGAAGATTTAGAGATGGTGTCGACTCAATCAGGTATTTTTATTTGTATGTGCATGAAGATGATATTCTGATGGAGAATTCATGAAACAAAAAAATTATTAGCTCCCTCAATTTAAGTTATTAAAATAATAATAATAGAGAATTCTATACTGGATTGCATGAATGAAATCTTTGGAGAATGTAAGGGTAACTCATCGTATAAAATGTAGTAGAGTCCCGCCTCATGTGGTTTGTGTATAGGTGGAGAAGCTTTGTAGACACACTAGTAGTAAGTGAATGATAGACTAGACATGGATAGTTCAATAATTAGAGGTTAAGGGGAGACCAATGAAAATTATGGGCCAAACTATCAACCAAGATTTGAGTTAAATGATCTTTTGATACCTGGTTTATGATAAAGACATAATGTAATTGTTTGAATCATGTCCGCTATTTCAACCAGTGGAAAATGTTGCTTGTATTCCCATAATTTTCTTCATAGTTTTCATATTAATCTTTTCATTACTTATAATAGAACATTTGCTGGTTATTGAACTGAGGTTTAAGTAAGTGGACATTATTGGAAACAATCTTATGAAGAGCAAATGTTTCTCAATGATGAGTTCATTTGTCTTGTCAGTCGAAAGTTTTGGCTTGTAGCTTATAATGGTGCTAGTCAAATTCAACCAAAGAAACTGTTGGATATGCACGTCTTTCGAATAATATAATGTCACTAATATTTCTAATTATAATTCTACCAAAGGTTAGAATGTAATAGTCTATCATAGGAGGAATAGATGAAACACAACCAATAGGAATTGATATCTGTTAGTTTCAAGTCAATTAGGTTGTTAGGTCAGTTAGGAGTTAGTTTGTATGGTTGGCCTTCTTCCCTATATATGAAGGGAATGAGCTAACTCTAGGGATTATCTTTGTTATCATCTTAGTTATGACTGGTTTTATACAGTGGAAGAGAGTAGTCTCTCTTGTGTAATTCTTTCTTTTTCAATCAGTAAAGTCCCAGGAAAGAATGATTCCCCTTCCTCCATCATTTTTACTGTCAGTGTCAGTGATCTAACATGGGATTTTGAGTAATTCCTTTTGAGGTAAGGGTTCCTTCAAATGAACTAGAAACCTTAAGGACGAAGTGGAGTACTGTTTGGAAGTAGTGATAGAGAGGGGACTAAATTAAAATAATAAAACCCTGAAGACATGAAAAAGGTGCAGGGCGGAGAATGAACATAGAACAAATAGTTCAAAGGAATGTGCTAATAAATTGTCTTTTTAATTTTTGTAAATACTTTTTTGTTTCCTTTCACCAATGATATTTTTGGGACATCTTATATTTCATGAATAAATTTTTGTCACACTATTTAAGAAGCTGACAAATTATAACATGAAGGATTGGTTTTTTTGTAAGGCAATAGTACCCAATCTGTTGATAAAGGGCGATTTGGATTAACTGTTAAAATTAAAAGGTTACTGATAAGGAAGAACAATGCAAAGAAAGCGACTGGAATATGCTTTCTCTTCCACCTATACCATTCCACACATATCAGATCCATAGTGTTTAATAGCCTGTAACAGAGCATTAAAATATATAAATAGGGCAATGGAATAATTAAAGTGTGTTTAGTCGCCCCCTTTAGTTTATCTAATTTCTGAATGTAAATTTCTAACTTTTCAATATCTTTTATGAGAATTGGTAAATGAAAGCTAGGAAAGAAAGAAAAAACAAATCCAAGAAGATCAATTAGTATTTTCCATACCAATTACTTTGATTCGTGCATGAATTGCACAATTCAAAGGCATTTGCGATTCATAGAATGATATGGGTTGTACTCAATTTGAACTTTCCGAAATTGTTAATAACTATGTCTGGACATATATATTTGTGAACAACACATTGGTTATGATTCTTATGAACTATTGCTGCATTGGACCTCTAATCTGATCTTACTCTGCAGAAGTAAAAGATGGCATACCATTGACAATAAGAATAAGAGCTGCCATTGGAACCGCTCTTGGAGCTACTGCTGCTCGGGCAAAATTGTTGGCGGACCAAGAAGAGAAAGAGATTGAACATTTAGTAGCAACTATAATTGAAGCTCAGGTAGCTAGCTCAGAATTTTCTTAATCTGCAATGTCTGACATTATTAGGATTCTCACCGCAGTTATCCATCATAGGGGTTGACCAATTTTTCTTTGCTGATTTGTTAATTAGATTGAGAAGTTGCAACAAAAGGTGAAACATTTTGATGAACTGGAGCTTTTGATGGAAAAGGAACATGCTGAAATGGAAGAGCTGAAAGATTCGATTTTGACTGAACGGATTGATGTGATGCGGAGGACATTTAAATCTGGCATCGCTAGATGGAAGGACTATCCTTGTGCAAAATCTTAGAGACAGCAAGTTTGCATGTATCTGTAAAGTTTTGGTGCCGTGGCTTATGATTATACTATCATTACTGTAAAATTTTCACAGCACCATTGAACACTGTTAAATGTAAGGTCTACCTGCTTTTAGGTAGTTTACATTTGGACAAGTGAAGTGAATTATTTTTATTTATTCAATATACTAATTTATAAAAAAAAAATGCATTTCCTTTTTTATATATATATTTTCATTGTGTGTTTTGGTATTTCAACGGAGTAGAGGAGAGGGAACGAGAGGAAATGTATTTTAATCATATGTATTTGGCTTGTAATTTAAGTATAGTTCTCAAAATAATGTTCTTTTTTGAGATATATCTCTGGACGTTTTTTTTATACATTCAATCAAGGTCATTTTGAGAGGCACTCCATATATTAGGTTTAATTTGTTTTGGAGATTTATCTTCGAAATAAGTCCATAATTACATAAGTGAAAAAACACTAAAAATAGATTTAATACAAAATGAACTTTCCAAAATACAATTGACATTTCTAACCTAAAACGATCATTACAATGATGATTTCAACAAAATATTACATATTACATTTTAATATTTTGGTGGACGCTTGCACATCTTTAGGATATCTTCGACTGATCTTTGTAGCATCGCTTCCAATTCGAGCAGAACTTTTTCTTCGAAACAGAAAATACGTATCTCACATAGCCCTAACATCCACTAGAGTCTTGAGCTCAAATTTGTTGAACACAATATTTCTTTCGTTGTCAACCGAAGGTGAACGGTACTCGAACTTCACAATACTTCGTTTGTCTTCGTAAGGTAGGAGATAGTGAATTTTGTCTATGATATCTTCGAGGGGGTGAGATCGGCTGAGTGCAGATTCACTGGAGTAGGAGACATTTGCGACATACCAGCGAATGTCGTTGCCAACATCTACCACCTTCACAACAATCCCTTAAACATTCAGAAAAACTACTTGTTTTGAGAAAACGTCAGGATGCACCATATCTATTGAAAGCAATTAAAACAACTACAAAACATTAATTAATCTTCTACTGCAGAAGAGTTGGAAATTAAACAAACACATTTCAAAAATACATCTTCGGAAAAGTTCATACACGTTCTGGAGATATATTTTCGGACACAGGGTAAATTTTTTCAGAAAAAAAATCATGATTAATGTGAACAATGTAGAAGAAAAAGAACAATCTTTACCTAAAATTCTATCTTCTTTTACTCCCTGCGATATGTTGAACCAAAAGGATGGAGTTTATAGTGAAAAATGGACTGAGAATGAAGAGTTTTTAGGGTGAGAGTTTTATGTTGAAAATAAAGTATGACAACAATAGTGGATTGATCATGCAACTGCAAGCTATATCAGATATTTTTAGAGATATATCTCCAAAAATATCAAAGGTAACAAAAACATTCAAATTGCAGCCAACAATTCCGGAGATGCATATCCGAAATATCCACTAAACTGAACAATTAAAATGATTCTAAAACTGTTCAAGAGATATATCTTCAAAATAAAATTAGACCAATTGTATGAGGCATATCTTAGAAAAATGATTCTAAAACTGTTCAAGAGATATATCTTCAGAATAAAATTAGACCAATTGTATGAGGCATATCTTAGAAAGGTCTTGATTGCGTATGTATACGGTGCTTTCGGAGATACCAAAACTGGGGGCAGAAGTGAAAATCCACACAGTGTACTAGAAGTATATAGGATGCAATAAAAAATATTCTAAAAAAAATATGTTAGACTTAAGTCGAGTGTCCTATCTCCCTCAACACATAGACCCATATATTAGGCTGCGCTACTTTCTATTAAGTCTTAAATCATCCATTGTTACTTTAGAAATTTCGTATCCTATAGGAAAAACATTATGAAAAATTCAAAATATCCTGAAAATACACCGCCGGACATACTTTATACCATTTTATGACACTCTAATTGAGTACCACCCTATTCAGATATTTTCGACAAATATATTAATATTTGAGCAGTTCAATGAATATTTTGGAGATGAATCTTTCAATGTTTGAGGCTGTTAGAAATTGTTTAGATGATAGTTGGTAGAAGATAGTTTTAGAGAGTAGTTTAGAAAGAAGTTTTTTTTTGATTAATTTCTTGGATGATTGTTTACAATGTAGCAAATGCCTATTTATAGGCTCAAGTCACCAACCTTTCAATAGTGGTGAATATTCTAGAGTTCTCATGATAGGTTACTATCATGATAAATCTAGATTTTTCTATCTTTGCCATATACTTATATATCTAGATTATTCTACCATATTCATACACCTTATAGTTTCTAGGATGTTCTATATTTTGTTACATATTATATTTAAGAACTCTCTAGAAATTTGTAGCAAATTTAACACTCCTCCTTGATACAAATTTCTTTGACTCCAAGCATAGCTCGTAGCTCTTCAAATCTTGGTCTCGGCAACGCCTTCGTGAATATGTCTGCAATTTGATCTTCTGTTCTACAGTAGTCGAGTTTGATCTCTTTAGTTGCTTCAGCTTCTCTTATAAAGTGATACTTGATTGCTATATGTCTTGTTCTACTGTGATGCACTGGATTCTTTGCCATTGCAATTGCTGATTTGTTGTCGCAATTGATTTTAGTTGGCTGATCCTGGATTTCTCCCATGTCTTCAAGTATCCTACGAAGCCATATAGCCTGACTCGTTGCTTCAGCAGCTGCCACGTACTCTGCTTCTGCTGTGGATTGTGCAACCGTAGCTTGTTTCTTCGACGCCCAAGAGAAAATTCCTGATCCGAGTGAGAAAGCATAACCAGAGGTGCTCTTCATGTCATCTACCGAACCTGCCCAATCACTATCGGTGTAGCCAAGTAATGCTGAGTTAGTTTCGGTAGAGTACCATATACCTAACTCTTTTGTTCCTTGTAGATATCTCAAAATTCTTTTTCCCGCTCCAAAGTGTATTTGACTTGGACTTTGCATGAATCTTGATAGAAGACTTGTCCGCGTAGCTGTCAAATATAGGAGGCTTCCAATTAAACTTCGATATTTGGATGCATCAGCTTCTGGTGCTCCATCATTCTTTTGTAGTTTCTCATTTGTTATGAGTGGGGTAGCGACAGGTTTGCAATCGTACATCTTGAATTTCTTAAGTAAGCCTTCTGTGTATTTCTTTTGTGAGATGAATCTCCCTTCATTTCTTTGGCTTACCTCTATACCGAGGAAGTAACTCATCAAACCAAGGTCGGTCATCTCAAAGGTCTTCATCATGTCTTCTTTGAACTCCTTTATCATCTTAGTATTGTTTCCCGTGTAGATAAAGTCATCTACATATAGAGAGAGTAAGAGAGTGTACTGACCTTGAGACTTGATGTATAATGTGGGCTCACTCTTGCTTCTCCTAAATCCTTGATCCATGAAATATTGATCGATTCTGCTATACCATGCTCGAGGAGCTTGCTTCAAACCGTATAGTGCTTTTCTTAGTCTTAACACTTTGCTCTCTTCGCCTTCAGATATGAATCCTTGTGGCTGCTCCACATAGATCTCTTCTTCAAGTACACCATTGAGGAAGGCAGATTTGACATCCAGTTGATGTATACTCCATCCTTTTTGTGCCGCAAGAGCTATTAGAGCTCTAATGGTATCAAGACGAGCTACTGGTGCAAATGTCTCATTGTAGTCAATTCCAGGTTGTTGTGAGTAACCCTTAGCTACTAGTCTCGCCTTATGTTTCTGTATGGTGCCATCAGGATTGAGCTTTGTCTTATAGACCCACTTAACCCCAATGATATCTTTTCCATGGGGACGATTTACTAACTCCCATGTGTTATTTTTCTCGATCATCTTTATCTCGTCTTCCATTGCCTTGACCCATACTTCATGCTTTGATGCTTCTTCAAAGCTTCCAGGTTCGAGTATGGCCATGTTACAGGTTTCATATATGTCTCTCAAAGATCTTACTCGTCTTGGAGTAGACTCTGGTGATGATAGTTCTTGAACATGTTGTTGTGGTGGAGGTGAAGAAGGTTCACCTAGGACTTCTTCCTCAGCTTCTTCTTGAGGTAGTTGAGTGGGTATAAGAACATTCTTCTCCACTTTTTCTTCATCCCAATTCCAAGAAGCATTCTCATCAACTTCAACATCTCGACTGATGATGAGTTTTTTTGTTTGCAAGTTATATACACGATAGCCTTTAGATATTGTGCTATACCCCAAGAAGATACCTCGTATAGTCTTGTCTTCAAGCTTATGCCTCTTCACGTCTGGAATATGAATGTAGCATATAGATCCAAAGATCCTTAGGTGCTTTGCTGATGGCTTCTTCCCGTTCCAAGCCTCAATTGGAGTCTTATCTTGTACAGATTTAGTTGGACATCTGTTGAGTAAGTAAACAGCAGTGTAGACTGCTTCAGCCCATAATGTGTTAGGTAGTCGCTTCTCTTTGAGCATCGATCTAGCCATCTCCATAACTGTGCGATTCTTTCTCTCAGACACACCATTTTGCTGAGGAGAATATGCGACTGTAAGTTGTCGCTCTATGCCCTCATCCTCACAAAATCTATCAAACTCGCGGGATGTGTACTCTTTGCCGCGATCACTTCTTAGTACTTTTATCCGCTTTCCACTTTGATTTTCAACAACGGCCTTGAACCTTTTGAATACTCCAAAAACTTCTGATTTTTCTTTCAAGAAATAGACCCATGTCATTCTAGAGAAGTCATCAATGAAGAGTATGAAGTACCTGTTGTTCTCGTGTGATGGCGTCCTCATCGGTCCACAGACGTCAGTATGTATTAGCTCCAACAGATCTTTTGCTCTCCATGCTCCGCTTGTTGAGAATGGAAATCGGTGTTGCTTACCAAGGAGACATCCTTCACACACTTCATTGTTATCCTTTATGCTTGGAAGATCTCTCATCATGTTCTTATCATGTAACAACTTCAAGGCATGTGTGTTGAAGTGGCCAAATCTTCGATGCCAAAGCCATGAATCATCAACTTGTACCTTCATGGCAATGTTAGTTGTATATTTTAAATTTAGCGAGAAGCTTCTTTTGCTCTTATTCATCTTCACTTCGGCTATCTCGGCCCTTTTATTCTTGTTGTCTAAGATTTTGCATACACCTCCTTCAAAGTGAAGTGTGTAGCCTCTCTCCATCATTTGCCCAATGCTTAGAAGATTTTCTTTTAGGCTGGGAACTAGTAAGACATCATGGATGAGTCGCGTACCTTTATCTGTCTCTACCACGACGGTGCCTTTTCCTTTTGACTCAACCACACTTCCATTTCCTAGTCGAACTTTGACTTTGACTGACTCATCAATGCTTTTGAAAATAGTCTCATCCTTGGCCATGTGATTGCTACATCCACTATCCAAGTACCAACTTCCTCCTTTTTCTTTGATTGATTCTTGAGTGGCATAGAACATACATTGTTCTTGATCATGCTCCTCTGCGATATTAGCTTGATGCCTATTTTTGTTGCGACAGTGTTTCTCTATGTGCCCGAATTTCTTGCAATGATTGCATTGTGGCATATTACGGTACCAACAACTTTTCTCCGCGTGGCCTAGTCGTTTGCATATATTGCATGGAATATTTTTATCTGGATTGTTCTTTTGGAAATTTCTAGGAACTTCTCTTCTTTTGGAAGTTTCACCATAATTTTTCTTTCCTCCATTTTCTTTATTTTGGGACTTAAATTTGAGCTTTGACTGAAAGGCATTTTCAAGTGTATCTTCTTTATGCCTATGTAGTCTTTGCTCATATGCTTCAAGAGAGCCCACTAGTTCTGTCACTGATAGAGTAGACAGATCTTTGGTTTCCTCTATTGTTGTCACGATTGGGTCAAATTTTGGGGGCATAGTAATTAGAATTTTCTCAACAATTTTCTTGTCAAGAATATCCTCCCCAAAAGCTCTCATTTGATTAACTATTTCTTTAACTTTAGAATAGTAATCTTTAACTGTCTCAGACTCCTTCATCTTCAATAGTTCAAAATCTCTTCTTAGAGATTGAAGTTTGACAGCACGTACCTTGTCATTTCCTTGAAACTCCTCCTGCAACGTCTTCCACGCTTCTTTTGCAGTCTTAGCTCCCATAATTCTTGGAAAAATTGCATCAGTCACCGCTTGCTGCAAGGTGAACAATGCCTTTGAATTTTTCTGTTTATTTTTCTTCAACTCTTTTTCTTGAGCTGCATTTAGAGCTGAAGTATCTATGGGAGCGATGAAGCCTTCTTCTACTATGTCCCATAAATCTTGAGATGAAAAATATGTCTCCATTTTAACACGCCAGAAATCATAATTTTCACCATTGAAAATAGGGACACAAATAGTTGATGATTGAGTAGTGTTATCCATGGCTTAGAAAAAATATTGTAGTGGGTTAATAGTATAAGGGGAATATTTTGAAGTAGTTTGGAGGATTTTGAAATGGTAGGTATTAGTATAACTACGCCCAATGTATGACCGAACGTAGCTCTGATGCCACTGTTAGAAATTGTTTAGATGATAGTTGGTAGAAGATAGTTTTAGAGAGTAGTTTAGAAAGAAGTTTTTTTTTGATTAATTTCTTGGATGATTGTTTACAATGTAGCAAATGCCTATTTATAGGCTCAAGTCACCAACCTTTCAATAGTGGTGAATATTCTAGAGTTCTCATGATAGGTTACTATCATGATAAATCTAGATTTTTCTATCTTTGCCATATACTTATATATCTAGATTATTCTACCATATTCATACACCTTATAGTTTCTAGGATGTTCTATATTTTGTTAGATATTATATTTAAGAACTCTCTAGAAATTTGTAGCAAATTTAACAGAGGCAAAATTTTAAAATGGCTGTCACCTTTATATATCATATATTTTTAAAATTATATTTTTGAAATAAGTTGATAAAATAATCACCTGCATGATCAAAGATCCATATTTCTTTTTCACTCTAAACCCTTTCTAAAAACTCTTCTATTTTTAATCAACATTTTCATTCTAAATCTTTTATTATGATTCATCATATCAAAAAGAGTAAAAGAAGCTGAAATTTTAGATAAAAACTATTCATTCCAAACCTTATTAATCACATTGCAATTTGTTTTGTTTTGTTTCTAATCTGAAAAAAGTACGTTAAATCTGAAGATGCATTTTCAATTTATATATGAACTGATATGGAGATGCATCTCCGTAGTATATCTATTCTCAATGCATCTTGAATCAACTTTAATGAGTGTAATATAAAGGTTAAACTTAAGCATGTGTTATGGAATTTGGTTTCGTGTTAGGCCAAGTTGAACTTACAGCACACACAAGTGAAAGCTGATTCAAGATACAATGAAAGGAGAGGATACTGGACAAATACATGCTATTTAAACAATACTATTACTTCTACGTATATTAATACGTCCTCACAATTACATTAAGAGTTACAAGCTAGTGGTGTATATTAATTTATACAGTCTCCAAATACCAAAGTGTTATTTTCTATGACATTACTCCAACCTTCAAAAGTAAAGCAGGTGAAAATCCAACCGTCCATCCGAATTCAATAAGCCTCCTGGTCCCCCTGTTCCTCGCAAAATCACAATTATAACCCCCAATTAGAAATAATAAATAATAACACAATCCAATTACCCAATTAATCTCATTTCGATAAACTGAAAAGAATATTTGAATCTATTAACCAACTCACTTTCTTCGGAATAATAAAATCAACAAACTTCTTGGTTTTAGCTCCAGTGGGTGATTTTTTGTTAACTTGTTGCAGCAGCTTCGGGTTCTCAGGACGGTGGTGCACCCGGTGGTGCTCCTTCTCAGTCACATATTTTCTTATATGATCTCTCACAAATCTCTCATACAAGTAAGCAGCTCCTTTAAACTGCGGCAAAACCAACCATGCCGCCACCAATAGCTTCACATCATACCATATCGGTATCCTACAAATTTTTTCCAATATCGTATATGATCTTTGATTAATATATTTCCAAGACAATTAGTAATGAATTAATTAATAAGAATTTAGTTAAAAAATGTCTAACCACTCTAAAGCAGGTTGAAGAAGCATCTCCCCAAGGGTGAGAAAGGAATAGATTATCCAATAAGCTAGCCACTGTTCGTCGTCTACCTTCGACGGACTCTCTATTGCTACCACCGATGCATACAAAGGGTACAATAATGTCAAAACCGGCCTGCAAACAAATTACACATTGAAATACATATATATTGTTGATGAAGAATATTTGATGAAGAATAGAGAAGAATGAATTGGTGTATAGTATATAGTAAGGTTATGTTACCCAGCAAGGGAATGAAGGTGGGTGATCAAAGTCCACAACTTGGTCATATTGTAGTTTGTTTTTGATTGAGTTGATTAATACTAAGAAGGAGCGGTGATTTAATATAGGATTGAAGAAACCAAAGAAAACGGTTAAAAGAGAGTAAAGTGAGGTTGGGGCGGTTGGTTTCAAATACCAATGATGTAAATGTAAATGGTCCTTCCCTTGAATTGGGGGACACGTGGGAGGAGAGGACTTGGTATGGGATTCTGCCTTTGACGTGTCATGTTTGATTTAGCACCGGCCAAATGATGATTATAAGTAATCTTATCTTGATTACGTTTAGGAGTACTTTGTTTAATGATTAGGTCAAGTTTTATCATAGTAGGTTATTTGCTTCCCTCCCCAAAGCATAACCCACGTGTGTATGCTTTTACATCGACACTGACGTGTTGCCGATACGTGCCGATTAATGTGCTTCCTAAGTCCCTATCCGATGTGTACACACGTACTAGTGCGCACTACATCAACTTGGAATTTAGCTCCTCTTTTAATGTTAAAAAATTGAAACAAGCCAGGTTAGCTGGATTCAGGTTCATAATCATAAATACCGCATGTTTTCTGCTAGAATTAAAATTATGAGTGAATCGTGAAGTAGAGTTTGTTGTGGTGAATGTCATTGATGATTTTGATTGGGCTGTATTATGGAAAATAACATGAAGTAAATTTAAGGTATCTTGATACATAAGGTGTTGGAAATAATTTTTTTTTTTTTTTTTTTTTTTGTATTTAGTGAAAATGTGTGGGAATATTAAAGGTTTGAATAGAAATTTGATAGATATAAGAATTATTTATGAAAGAGAGAATTACATCTTTATTTATAGTACTCTAAGGAGAACTTTAAAAGTGTAGAATTACATTTCTATTTATAGTACTCTAAGGAGAACTTTAGAAACACTAGTTCTATAGAGTTCTCAACTCTAAGAATTCTAAGAGCATTTTAGAAAATATTACAACTGCAAGAAATATTTAGACACTCCAAATATTACAAGAGTTTTTTTAGAAACATTAATTAAAATTGCCTAAGGCCAAAAATCCAAATAATATGTTTATACTCAAATTAAGTTTAATCTTTCAACATCCCCCCTTAAACTTGATTTGTGACTCCAAACATACTCCTTAGCTTCACGAAAGTTTTCAACTTGAGTGACTTGGTAAAAATGCCGACAACTTGATCTCGAGACATCACATACTTCAACTTCACATCCTTCTTCTCGATGCATTCTCTTATGAATTAGTAACGGGTGTCAACGTGCTTACTTATTTCATGAAATACAAGATTCTTTGCTAAAGCAAGTGCTGATTTATTATTAACACATATTTCTATAGGATATTCTTGTGCCATTTTTAATTCTTTAAACAAGTTTCTTAGCCAAATTTCATGGCAAACACATGATGTAGCTACAACATATTCGGCTTCACAAGTTGACAGTGTGACGATAGGTTGCTTCTTTGACATCCAAGCGAAAGTAGTATCTCCCATAAAGAACATAAAACCAATAGTGCTATTTCTATCGTCCAAGTCTCCACTCCAATCGCTATCACTATAGCCAACAATATCATAATTTTTAGAAGACTAATAATGCAAGCCAAAGTTTGTTGTACCTTTGATGTATCGAAGGATACTCTTTGCAACCTTGAAGTGAGTTGTTGTTGGAGCTTCCATGTAGCGACTTACGACTCTTACAACATAGAGAATATCCGGCCTTGTACTTGTTAAGTAACGTAGACTTCTAACCAAACGTTTGTAAAGAGTTGGATCCACAATCTCTCCATTTTCATGCTTACTTAACTTGTTGCCACATTCCACCGGGGTGCCAACAGATTGACATCATCCATCTTGAACTTCTTAAGGACTTCTTTTGCATAGCCTTCTTGGATGATAAAAATTCCTTTGTCTTCTTGCTTTACTTCAATGCCAAGATAATATGCCATGAGCCCCATATCCGTCATCTCAAATTTATTTGACATATCTTTCTTGAACTCTTCGAACATGCTTAAATTGTTCCCAGTGAAGATCAAGTCATCAACATATAAGCACACAATCAGAATATCTCCACTTTATGCTCATATGGTCACTTGACGAAATTCTTGTCTCGAAAGTACTTGTTAATTTGAACATTCCAAGCTCTCGGTGCTTGCTTGAGCCCGTACAACGCCTTTTTCAACTTCAAGACTTTTTCTTCTTGCCCTTTTACTTCATATCCCTGTGGTTGCTCGAATAAACTTCTTCTTCGAGAAAACCATTCAAGAAGGCTGACTTCACATCCATTTGATAGATATTTCATTCATTTTGGGCTGTCAAAGAAATGACCAGTCTAATAGTTTCAAGACGAGCAACGAGGGAAAATACCTCATCATAGTCAATTCCTTGTCTTTGACTATAGCCTTTTGCCACCAGTCTTGCTTTGTATCTCTCCACGTCTCCTTTTGCATTCTTCTTCGTGTTGTACACCCATCTTACTCTGATTTCTTTGTGTCCTGGTGGAAGTGTAGTAAGTTTCCACGTATCATTCTTTGTGATTGACTTTATTTCTTCATCCATGGTGTTTCTCCAATTTACGTTTTCAACAACTTCTTGATAACTTAAAGGCTCACAATCACAAAAAAGACAAAAGAGGTTAATGTCATTTTGGTTTTCGGTTACCTCATAAAGATCTTCAATGCTCCTTAGTCGTGGTGTCCTCTCACTTGAGCTTGTTTCATCAAACCTTGGCGTCGGTGATGCGAGTGGTGTAATACGTTCCTCTATCATTGGTTGTTCCATTTCATCATCTTCTTCTTCAAAATAAGGAAGAAAATCGTACCTGTCTTCTTGAACAATCCAATCCCAACAATCTTCTTCTTCGAACCCCACGTCCCGACTTATGAGAATCTTTCCACTATTTAGATTATAGATCTTGTACCCTTTGGAGCTTGAGTCGTAACCCACAAATACATACTTCTCACTTTTATCATCGAGCTTTATTCTCCTTTCATCTGGAACGTGGGTATAGGCAATGCTTCCAAACACTTTGAGGTGAGACATCCCTGGCTTCCTTCCACTCCGTACTTCTTGTGGTGTCTTCTCATGCACACTTCTTGTTGGGGAATGGTTTGTCAGGTAAACCGCATATGCCACTGCTTCGGCCCAAAACTCTTTCGACATCTTCTTACTCTTAAGCATGCTTCGCACCATATTAATTAGGATCCAGTTCTTTTTCTCCGCTACTCCATTTTTTGGTGGCGATCTTGGCACTGTTAGTGGGCGGAGGATTCCATGGTCTTCATAATATTTTTTGAACTCATTTGAAGTAAAATCTCCTCCTCGGTCAGATCTCATGGCCTTAATAGAAAGTCCACTTTCTTTCTCTACAAGGACTTTGAACTTCTTAAAGTTTTCAAACACTTCCGACTTCTCCTTCAAGAAATAAACCCATATTTTTCTGGAATAATCATCAATAAGGAGGAGAAAGTATTTACTCTTACAAAAAGAGTTTGGATTGATTGCTCCAAAAACATTGGTGTGTATGAGCTCTAGCGGTTTTGTCGCTCTTGACGTTGATTCCTTTGGAAAGCTTTTTCGAAATTGCTTCCCAATTAGACATCCTTCACATAGTTGGTATGTGTGGTTTATATTAGGCAAGCCTCTTACCGTCTCCTTCTTTGACAAACATTCTAGACTGTCAAAGTTGAGGTGTCCAAGTCATAGATGCCATAGCCACGAAGAGTCGGCATAGCAAGCCTTGAGACACTTTGCCACATCATTTTGAATGTTCAAAAGGAACATTCTATTCTTTGACATAAGCACCTTAGTAATTAAGTTATGCCCACAATCTCTTAAGAAAATACTATGTTCTTTCAAGTGGATGTCATAGCCTTTCTCTAATAATTGTCTCAAGCTCAAAATAATATTTTTCATGTTAGGAACATAGTAGACATTGGATATGAATTGATGACTCCCATTCTTCAAGCGTATGAGCATTTTACCTTTGCCTTTAACCAGTATCTTTGAGTCATCTCTAAATGAGACATTGCTAGTTGTCGCTTCATTGATCTCTATGAACATGCTTCAATCGCCACAGATGTGGTTGTTTGCGCCGGTGTCGAGGTACCACTTGTTTCTTTTCTCTTCAAATTGGTTTTTGCACGCGAGCAACAAAGTTTCTTCTTCTCCACCTTTTTCTTTTACAAAGTTTGCTTTCTCCACAAACTTCTTTGAGAATCTATACTCAGATGCGTAGTGACCGATTTTGTTGCAATTGAAGCATTTGATTTGTGACTTATTGCACCTTGACCATGAATTTCTATTTCCACGACCTCTTGTTGCTTGTGGATTCCAACTTCTTTCTCCATTGTTGAAGTTGTTGGAGTAGTTGTTGTAACAGCCTATTCTTTCTCCTTCATGTCCTCGTTCACGTCCACGTCCATGTTCACAATCTCGGCCACGACCTCGTCCTCTTTGGCTCTTGTAATTCGCATAGTTTGCTTCCTTTGCATTGAGTTATAGTAGTTGCTCCATAGTCTCCTTTTGTTTAGTTTTTCTCTTTTATTTTTCTTCGTATGCTTGTAAGGAACCCATAAGTTGCTCAATAGTCATGGTTTTTAAATCCTTGTTTTCTTCAATGTTGGTAACAATGAAGTCAAAACTTGGATTTAAAACGCGGAGTATTTTCTCCATGACTTTCACTTCATCAACATCTTCACCATTTCTTTTAAGTTGATTGACTACAGACAATACTCGAGAAAAATAATCAGAAATTGACTCAAAATCTTCCATAAATAAATGTTCAAACTCACCTCTAAGAGTTTGAAGATGAATCTTTTTCACATGTTCCACTCCTTTGTTGAAAGTTTGAAGCTTTTCCCATGCTTCTTTGGCCACCGTTGCATTGGAGATCTTCTCAAATGTATCTTCATCCACCGATTAATAAATGAGGAAGTGAGCTTTCTTGTCTCTCTTTCTTGACTCCTTTAATGTCTCATTAACACCTTGACTTAGTGAGGTTTCATCTTGCTCCTTGAAGCC